AACCAACAACATGTAAAACAGCAAACAACATCGTTTCAGAAAAGATTTATCTTGCACAACAAACCTTATAGCAAACGAGCATTGGAAAAAAGCTCCTGTAAGATCCAAACCTAATTCCAACTAGGTTAGGAATGATGAACAACTGGATAGTAAAAGTAAAGACACTCGAAAACCCCAGTCGAAATCAGAACAAGGTGTTTTGGGGGGAATAACGTTTCTAGATTTCATCATATATACAAATGTACAAATTTACCTAAACAAATATTACCATCCAGGTATTCAACCGACAATTGATACCAAAATTTTCATTCTAAATTACAATGAATAGCAAAGTGGTAAAAAATATATGAAAATTACCAAAAACACCAAAAGGTGAGTGTTATTCTATCCTTTCTGGATAGATCACGTAAGATTCCGTTTGAGCGGCTGTTCTTTAACACAAAGTGTTTTTCTATTTCTGGGAAAGTGATCCAAAATAGAACCAAAAAAATATCCCAGCCAAAATCAAACCGCACAATCAAAGAGCGAGCAGCCAATATGGCAGCCGCCAGAATAATAACAATTAAAAAAAACTAGATACAGTTCGGTAAGGAACATAGAGACTCAATAAAAACGATAGTAAAACCAAGAAAATTAAACGTTACATTCTTAATTAGCATCAAAAAAGTTAACAATATATACAAATAAAGAAAACGTAAGGAAGAAATCACATATGTATGAATGGAGAGATTTTCACTTTCAAAATGGATGTAACATCGGCCCCCAAAATCCCTCCATCCTGCACAAGCTATTCTGATGCCCTTTTAGCCATGGTTCACCTAATCGCATATTTCACACTAAAAGAACGGGTAGGACTTACAACAGTACGCCTACTCATCCTGCACACAATGTTATAACGAGTAACTGATCGAAACCTTCTTAGCCAAGCTACTGCCCTATAACCAGCCTCTGAGGCATCGCTAAACAAATGCAATTCCACCCTTGCGTTAGGTTCGTCGGATCTATTCTTGATTCCTCGATGTATTATAACGTGATCTATCCATCGCATGAAGTTCACCCAATTTAGCCAGGTCGATAAATAAGGCTCATTGATCGGCGGATCCCAACCTATTTGAGACTTACACAACTTTTGCAGCAGACGTTTAACTGTGAGACAGACTGGGGAAATTAGGCCCAAAGGATCAGACAGGGAAGATACCACAGATAGAATACCTCTCCTCGTCAACGGCCTTTCTGGTGCGTCAAAGTAAAACCGGAAAACATCTCTTTCACAATCCCATTGTACACCCAAGGTACGATGAATAACATCACAACTCTTCGACGTTGCCATCCAAGGCGCTTCTTCTCATACCTCAGGCAAAATGGTCCTAACTTCTTCCGAATTGGTTATCCATTTCTTTAATTTAAAACCACCTTTACACAATAACTCACTTACTTGCTTAACAAAGTTCTTTGCTTGGTCACACGTGAAAAAGGATACCAAGCAATTATCCACATAGAAGTTGTTCCTAACAGCCTCTACGACATAGCTACCATATCCATCAGAGAATGTTTGAGCAGTCTTGTTCAAGGCAAAGTTCGCACAGAACGGCGATGACGTCGCTACAAATGGGTGAGCTGTCATTTGAAACTCGACTGGTTCTCTTGACATATTTGCATCCTGCCACCATAGAAACCTTAAAGCTCCTTGATTAGATTCAGGGACCTTAACTTGCATAAACATCTCTTCAACGTCCGCACAGATGGCAATTGCTTATTTGCGAAGACGCAATAATATAGAAACTAGTTCTGTAGTCGTGTCAGGTCATTGATAAATCATATCATTTAGCGAAACCCCAGCACATTTAGCAGCACAATCCAGCACCACTCTCAGTTTCTCTGGTTTTTTCGGATTTATCACTGCGTGGTGAGGTAAATGCCAACGAGGGAGGTAATCTGACCTCAACTGTATTTCAGTGACCTTCCGTGCATAACCTTTAGCAAAATTACTTTCAAAATATCTGGAGTGTAGGTTGCTATCCCTCAACAATCGACGCTCCAAACTAAGTAACCTACTGACCGCTACCTCATAGTTCCCCGTCCTTATGTTTGGATTCATTTTCCATGATATCGGAACTACGAAGTGACTACCGTCGAAGAAAGTACCTATTTCTACTATCTCTATTGCTGCTTGGTCCTCTATTGACAGGGATTTATCGCTTGAATATATGAATGGAGGGATTTTCACTTTCAAAATGTATCTAGCAGCTCCAGACAACAGAAAATCAGTGGATGTGGTCTACATAGACTTCAACATAGCATTTGATGAGGTGTCAACAAATAGACTATTCATGAAGTTAGAAAATCTTGACATTTCTGGACTGCTATTAAAATGACTTAGGGATTTCGTAGTGGGTCGTAGACAGAAAGAAAGAATAATTTTGTAGTGCTCCGCCTGTAGACTAATACTGAGTGGAGAAACTTAAGGTTCTGTCCTAGGTCCTTTATTTTTTATACTGTATGCAGATGATCTCCCAAGTATGATTGAGTCCAAAATGGTACCTACATGATCTTAAGACCATAGTCATCTGCCACGAGGTCACAGCTAAACGGTCCAGAACAATCTGGGCTTTACTAAGTTAGGTACTACCGTGTTCACTACAGTATACAAAACCATAGTGAGAACTAAGATTGTGAACTGCTCTCAGGCTGCAAGCCGCTGTTTAAAAGAGGACTCGGATATCTTGGAAAAAGTACAGAAAGCAGCTACCTGTGCAATTACAGGACTTCGAAGCTTACTATAAAAAGAGCGGCTTGAAAAGCTAGATATCTTTGCTCTGTCCTATCGCAGATTAAGAGGTGGTTGGATTTTGATGTGTCGAATACCAAAAAATGATTTGGGACTTAACATGTCCTCTTTTCTTCTTTGCCTTAGATCTGGACAACTCAGGGGACATAGCAGGTGAGTAGAAAAGCCAAGAACAGATGAAATACCCGGGGCATACAGTTTTTCACACGAAATGACCAAATCTTGGAACTTGTTACTCGAAGTAGTGGTTTCCGCGCCTTCAATCGATTTATTCAAGAGAAGGCTGTAAACTCACAGGAGCATTCTAGAAAAAGAATTAACGTAAGCTTCATGCCTTCTATGCTTACTAGATAAATCTGAATCTGATATTTTGAGTGTGAATAATCAACAAGAATATAGCATTTGAACATTTGCCTAATTTCTGAGCTATAATTCAAAAAATGTGTGTTATATGAGCGTGCACAGCATCACAAGTAAAACACGGGGCAAATATTTAATGCCCTAAAAGCTCTAGTGTCTTCAGATAAACGCACTTAGTTACAAAACACATCAACCAACAAATAACAACCCAACTGCCAATAACTAGTACTGTTACATGACTGAACCTACTGATTATTATTGACGACATGAGTCCGCATTAAAACAGTAGGAAAGAAACACGAAGGATTGATTTGGTTTGAATAACCTCTTAACGAATATATCGGACGTTTCCAAACCCGCTCATTTTGGTGCTAACGTTACTAGTCAAATAATTTCACATTGGCTACAGTAAATCGTTGTTAAGATTCATATTTACTACACAAGTAACCACATGGTTGTTTTTCAAATTTCATATAATAAAGCTATTCACTGTAGTCCTGAAACTTGATGTAAAACCAGTTTTAGCAAACTCGAAACGTTACTCTATTGACTCGTAGTTCTGATTACCAGATTGTCGTATCTGCGTGACCATGCTTTTTAAGTTTTTTCGAATACTTTCTTAACAGGTTTAAACTTACTTGCGCGCTTACTGAGTCGTCTGTTCATTTTACTCTTCTGAATTTTCACACTCCCAACACACAAGGTCGTTGTAGGTTAAGCCCAAACCTTTCAAAGTTTAATAGTTCCAAAATAAAAATTTTTGCATAAGTACATACATAAATTCTCAAATAGTCTTTTAATTTAGGATTTTAATGGTTAAAAATGTATCATCCTAAACAGAACGGAATTCTGTCATACACAACGTTTGAGTAATGCCCTAATGGTTTTTCTTCCGTTTCTCACAAGTGTCAAAGTGGAATATAAGTTTTTGTGATAAACTAGTGCCAGTAGTTTGGGTTAGAATTTGCGGTTATGAACCAGATATCAGGTTTCCATCCCATACTTACCACAACTATAATGACAAGTTAACAGTTAACCATATTATAATGTCCAGCGTTCGATAGGATTTACTCTTACTTAGCAATAACTTTTGTGCTGAGTAGTTATAAGGGGCAGTATAGGAAAGAATCCAAAACAGTTGAAAAAAAGAGGAAAGTAAGCCTACTAATCAGTAAGCACATAAGCTGGACCTACATTTGAGAATAAAAGCAATAAATAACAATTACAAATAACATGCAGGGGTCTAAGACAATCCTATAGTGGAAACTAGGAGTTATCAGCTTTAGCTTCCTAACAGGTCAATATGCGGAACTGGATATGTTGTCTGATCGGTTTGTCCATGAAATATAGTTCTAACATTGTTTGAAGAAACGCAGTCTGAAATGTCATGTGAAGTGTACTGAAATCATTTTTACAAAATTTGCCTGCCAGTTTTCACCCTCATAAATTTCCCGTACATTTGTACTTAATACAAATGGAGGAAACGCAACGATTTAAACCACTTTCTGCATTAGTTGTGTTGCCTGATGGGTAAAACCGTCGTATAAATGTTGATAACTTATTGGTTTACTTATAGTATAGAGCAAACAGTAAGCAAACGTACATGGTTGTAGTTTACTGTATTTTTAATCATATATTTTGACATAATCACTAAATCTCGACAGAACGATGACTTTTCAGCTACTTGTCAGCACTTCAATTGACTGTCATAATAAGGTCAATGTTCACCTAAAAACGTTTTTAAAGCACAAATTTGACATATGTTCGCAAGAGTTCTTTCTTTTGATGATTTTAACGTTGATTTGATTTCCGATAAACGTCAGTTATCTCCCTTTTTGTTACAGGTCATAGTATGGCTGAAAGTTTAAACATTGACTTCATCCCGCCAAAGTTATATATACCATGCACTGGGCAAATTTCTAGTATGTATAATCTTGACCGTGAATAAATCCCATAGATTACTCCAAAAATCAAGTTTCCTGTTTAGGGAAGTTGCGAAGAACTTGGAGTTATCGGAATAAAGATATACTTATATCCCATATGATATACATTCGATTCAAAAATCAACTACACAAATTCCTTTTTTTCAAATCATTCTCTTCTGTAGATCACCTTTGAGATTGTAGATTTTTTACAGGTTCGACGCAGTTTAGCACAACTTTGTGATGGTCCTATCCTAAATGGGATTTCAAATTTTTGTACTATGTCTTTAAAATGTAAAAGTGAACATTGTGTGAGTGGACATACTTTGGATCATGCACTAGTATGCCTAATCCAATTGTATAAAAAAATAGAAACATTGCTTATTCGTTTGAATTCCTGCTGGAGGTACTTTGTACCAAACATATTTACAAAAATTATGTAGGTCATGTGAAGCACAGTTTACTACCGGACACTTTACCAAAGTCCTCTTATTAATAATGACAGTACTTTCAGGTTTAAGGTAAGTTAAAACCTAGCATCAATATGGGTAGAGTTCAATCTCTTAATTCTCTAGATGAAGTTAATTGTTGTTATGGTAACCTCTTTGCAGTCCGGAGATCTTTAACAGATACAAAGACTTGGGTAGATTCTTTAACTATATTTAACTGATATCTTAGCTACCATCTGATATTACTCTACCGTCTTCGTTAAATCATCAAACAAAGCCACCAGCAACAGATGTGAATAATCGCAAAGTGTATTGTTTACAGAGCCTCGTTTTATGTCATTGTACTTCAGTTTAGATTTTGGCGAAATTCGAACTAAAGATATCCCAAAGTTTTTGACTTCAAAAGGGACTCCTGATAATTCCGATTCCCATGAAGCCATAAGTTCTAATAAACCTCTCGCTAACAATGTAAGCTATGACATTATTCTACTAAATTTACTTATTCAGAGCAAGAAGGCTAAAAGACTTAGTGTGGATACTCAGCGTTCACTGTAAGTTACTAAATATAATGCATTACTTTCTAGAGCTACAATACTTCCACGCGGCACTCAGAAGAAACAAGAAGATCTTCTTTCTGTACTTCTCAGCCGCAGATAGTATAACGTTTGAGATTATTGTACAGTCCTATGATCGAATATGTACCTATTTGTATTATTTTCGTTACTTATTCAATGTAAATAACTAAATTTTTGGTTTATTAGGAAATAGATTTCCCTAAATGTTTTGTTTTTATTGGGGTAGGGGTTACGGATACTTCTGTAGGCTCTTTAGGTTTCATTTTACTACATCTGACCATATATTTTCATAGTAGAGCAATAAATAAATTTAGTATTACGTTTGGTCTTTTCATTACTAACATATAAATCTCTGAGGTGGATTGTACTTCTTTAATGAATATGAATCACGGCTGTTTCTTAGTGATTATAAGTAAGCCGTCAATTACACTGTAACATCTAGCATATCTAGTACAGTCAGGTTAACTAGTATTCATTTAAAAATAAAACATGATGTTCTTCAGAACATTTTGACACACAGTTCACATCAGCACAGTAGAAGTAAAGACTGACAAGGTGAACAACAAAGGAGAGAAAAGTATCAATTGGAGTGAAGAATTTAGACGAGAAATACGTGTTGTAGGAAATAAATAAGATTCAACAATAAGAAAATAAAGATTGTATCCAACTCCCTATGTATAACTAGTGTCTCCGACGATATCAACCTGAAAAAACTGCATCCAACACAACTGAGATTGGAAGTCGATGTTTTCATAAAATGATTCCGTGTTTTTGTTCACGGTCCCAGCGTAGTGCATCGGGTTGGTCTATAGCTAAACTTACGTAACGTTTAAGCTAATATAGTCGATAGATATCAAGAACCTTGTCAATTTCCCGTGATTAAACTGAACATTATTGACTTAGTAGTCCTATTCACATGGCGCCAATTCTTCAGGAAAATCTGTGCTTACATTTTTTCCCTCTACTGTAATAGCCGCAAAGCGATCCGGAGTCAATTGCTACCATCGCCAATTGGGAGGTAAACGTTTGTACCACCCGAATACCATGAGATACAAGTTGTGAAAAACTTGTGTATCTCTGCTTAGATTCAATCAGCAACTGACCCAACGAAGGTGGTAAAACTTCTAAGATAGATAAAGAGGTTAATAAATTCATCTATTCTACTCTCTTTTTTTCGCCAGGACATTCGTTTAAACCGTTTTTAGAGCGGCATTTGGCATTCATAGAGAAATGTACCAAACATTTACATGAACCCTTGTTGGGAAGACCAGCTACTTGAAACTCAAATAAGGGAAATGTCACCTCTTAGCTTATCTGTGAGAAAGTACGTATCCGTAAAGTGAGTAGTTCTGACAAACTACCTCATGCAGCTGAAACACATGACATCTCTGGTGCATTCCATGATTATGAATGCTGAAACTTCACTAGTCAATACTAAACCTTCATGATAATCAGATTTCCATACTCGTAAAATAAGACAATGGTAATCTAAGACTACATCTGGTTACCGAACTCTGTCAATATTTGAACCACCGTGCGAGCAGTGTTAAAGTTAGACGCAGTGCACTAGGAGAAGTGTGACAACTGTAAATGTTCACTAATTAAGAAGTTTGGACATGTCCAACAAATGAGTAGAAAATAGGTTGGGGGTGATCATCGACCATTTAGACTATCAATAAGTAAACATTAAGGAATATTAAGCACTTTTAAAATACAAAACACTTTTGGTTTCTACGTAAATAGCTAGCAGCAAAATACTTGACAAACCTACCAGAATCTTGTAATAAGAATGAATTGGAGAATTGATATTATAATTTTAGACATATACCGAAAGTTAAATTTGTTACATAGTGAATAGTTGTCGACTATATATCCGAAGGTAGTGTTTTTCGTTGCTTCTTTTTGTATGAACGCACTACATTAAAAAGAACCTGAACAAATGTACCAGATGGAAATATTGCCTAGAATCAATAGCATCATACAGGTGTTTACAATGAAGAAAAGATTTGAACCAATATAGCGAGGAACTAACATACTAAATAAATGTGTGGAGTACATAGTCGTTTTACATAAAACCTATGTTATGTATGGATCTCAACGGGTAATCATATCAGCAGCCATATATCCTTAATAGGTGCCAGCTATCTAATGTATAAGATCTTCTTTGATCACTTCATAAACTTCGGTAAGATACACAATGACAGCTTACGTATTTTATACTTGTCCTCTTACTAATAATAAGATCTAATTGTCGTATATTTTCATGACCCATTTGTATAAATGTTGATTGCATTACACAAAATAACATCGCTAGGAAGAATTCTTCAGTGTTTCGAGGCGACAAATACAGAATTTAAGGTCTAGCTTGAGATACACTTATTAAAGCAATAAACGCTTCTAACTATTGAGTTTCCAGTAAAATAACAAACAAACTTTTGTCTAATAAAATCGATATATCACAAGGCAATATTTCTGGTCATTCACATACACATACCAAGTTACAACAGAGCAAGTAGAAAAAATAGATTCAGTGAAAATAAACGTTATTATATCAAGCTAGTGAATGTTTGCACATGAATATCTTTCTTTAAGGGGTCTCAAAATTGATAAAATTTAGAAAAAAACAAATAGTTGTTAGATCAATTGTTGCTCCTTTTTTAGAAAAAAAAAACAAATGACATGGACAGCTTTCTCATTGAGATATGTTAACGTAGAAAGAATTACAAATAATAGTCTTCTCCAGTAGAAAATAACAGTTGATAAGCAAAAACAAATATTATGGAATGTAGCTTCAATGATAAAAAAATTACAGACCAATTGCAAATAATTGTAACTGATAATGACATATCAATAATTGCATAGTCGAGAATAGCCCTGGTTCAATTGTTATGAACTAAATCATGGTTACAAAAAATCACCCCCGAAAAGGATTCATAATTGAGACACGACGAAGTATTGACTCAGGTATCGGTGTACTTGAAACTGGTGGCATTATAATTTTTGCAATACCTTCAAGATTATCCAAAAATATTTTTGGTGTCAACAAGTGGGTACCACCAAGTACGACTTCCCAGTTCCAACCAACTCCTCCACCTGGGATTGTTGAAATGTTTTCTGTTGTAGGTGTATTTATTTTATTTGTATTCTTATCGCTAGCTGCAAGACGAGTTTCTACACACTAAATAAATAAGTAAAAAAGATTATTAAGCCCATTTATTAACATTTTTATTATTACAATTAACAAGTAATCCATCTCAAAGTTCATAAACTGTTGTTGAAAGTGACCAACAGTTCTAAATAAGACATGAAATTGAAATATTTAACATTCCACATCTTATTTAAACAAGACTAGACAGCAATAAGAAAGCACATATATTAAACAATCGCTTTATTTACATTGAAAATATCAAAAAAGAATTAGAGGCTATACTTGATTAAATATTTAGAACAGGAAACTAATTGCATTAGTTATTACAGTTCACTTTATGTAAGAAGTTATGTATCCGAATTGAGTTTAATGGAAAGATAACAAAAAACGGTTGAAAATTTGCTGAAATAACTCGGGATGGATTACACTATTGTCAGATCTGTGTAGTACTCAGCCTTCGAAATTTGCAATACCTTACTGATAAATGATGTGCCGTTTAATGGCTTTCAAAATACATTAACAGAATGTACATCGATGGATGAACCCAATCATAACGATGTGTCCAGTGTGATGGTTGCTCATGAGAACGGTTTATTGATGCAAACTGATAACAGGGACAAGATAATTGACTTTTTCTCTAATAAAATAATATGCGAATTATCGAACACAAGCGATTAGAAGATACAGATTTTGTAGGTTACTCAGGTCCAATCAAACTTAAGATGTATCCATTAGAGACCATTTTTTTCTGTTACATAACCTTGTCTTACACTTTTTTATGCTCAACTACACATTATTGGTATCACTATGTTCACTGTTTTTTTTTACTATTTGTTATCTTTATAACAAATGTAACCTGTGAAGAATTCAATGACAATATGTTATAATTTCTCTTATTAGGATCCAGCTTCTCTTATAGCTTAGTATTCTTGGACAATACTTCACTTAACAAGTCCCCAAATCAGAACATAGTTGAAGAGAAACTTAATTATATTCCAAACAAAAAGGTTGGATGGAAGTAGGAATTACAATAAAAGAAACGTTATTATATATTTGTAGTTTTTACATAGGAAGATTCACGAGTCTTCAAGTACCCACTAGTGCTGATTGAATAAAAAAATGTAGTGAACAGAACACTGGTTGGCACAATCGAATGCATTTAGGCAAAAATTACAGACTACCTCAGTAAATTCTTACAACCATACAATGAACAGTTAATTTGCAAATAAACAACCAATTGTGTCAATCTTCTCTGATTCCATTGTTCATGCATTTTCCAAACGATTAAGCTTCATTTCAGTTCTTTCTTCATCGGTCCTCTGCTAAAATACATTCCATGTCTGACCAACACCATATACTACTTATATAGATATAAGTAGACCACACCACAGAAATAGTTAATCAGTGTTCCACCAACATAATCTTACATGGAACGTGCTTTGATCTAATCTATATCCCGTTAACACAATAGCTTCTTTATTTCAGAAACTATCAATAGCCCACTGATGAACATACTTGATGTGTGGTCGAGAATGATAGTGATTGGTTGTCTTGATCAGTCAGACATTAGATAGGATGACAGGTGTTATGTATTATATATATTCCCCTATCCTTATTATGTATGAACTGTTCCTTGTTGATGGACACTTATTGATTGACTGTTCTTTGTGTCGGATTTTGGTGTGGACGTTGTAGTCTCGTGTTCTTGATCTGAGTTGTGTTGAAGTCCTGTAGAATAGACACTGGGTGGGAATCTAGTGTAGATATTCGTCTAAGGTAAATTAACGTCCCACATACGTGTAAAAAGTGAAAGGACTGTTATATCCAGAAACCGCCAGCGTTATAACAAGAAATCCCCTAGCGGTATAACAAGCATCCTCATTTACGTTTATAACAATACTATAGGGTAATCCCTCCTTTGTGTTATATCAACGTAACTGTTTTACCAGATAAGCATTAAGTGATGCGAACATTTGATAGTAACATCGGAAACTGTATATATGAACCTGAAATTGTGATAAAGAACAGTTTACTATACATCAAAACACTGAGGTAGAGGTAATAGCTTGATAGTAACTGATTAGATAACGCTGAAAGTTAGTAATTGGTAAAGTGGATGGGTTTTCTTTTGTCGATAATCTCTTGTCACTTAATCATATATATCAATGAATTTTTATGGATATTTACTATTTTAAAGGCATTTATAAATTTTTATTCCAGTCATTATGTAATAAATAATTTTTCTGCATAGTCAAGTACCTTCTGGATTAGTTATTCCTTTAGGGGACTAAGAAAAAGCCATTAAGATTCGGATATGAACTATTTCACATGCCCTTTTTTACTCCTCAAGTGGATCAAGAATTTACAGTTAATGAGAAGTCGTCGAACTATTGTTTCTTTGAAACTTATGAAACAGTTAAAATTGTATTACCTCGTTTAAAATAAATACATAGTAATTATAAGTGGTAAAGATGTTTCAATTCAGATAAAAGAAACTCACTTTTTGAGTTAACTGGTAACCCACTCTGGCTTCTGATAACGTGAAACCTCCAACAACAAAGACAATAAGACGAGGACCACAGTGTTCAGCCATAGAAGAAGCAGCTGTATTCCGATCTGAACCAGGATTTGGACTAGATGACCTAACAGATGCTGAAGGACCTGCAGACAAAACACCGCTGGCATGAAACCGTGCGGAAGGCTTTTTAAAATCCTTGGAACTAGTATCCACTGCATTACCGAGACCAAACACATCTTTGATGCCTTTTGCTACAACGAATCCGAAACGTGATTTGTCCAGTTTACCCGAAATAGCTTGCTAAGAGTAATGGAAAAGCAACAACATAATTCACCCAGTTATGGTTATATAATATACACTTGTGGTCCAGGGTAATTTTGTATTTGTTTTCAGGAGAACCAGACACAACAAAGGCTTCAACGCTACAATCTGAATAGTACAGCTCAATCCTGTGGCTCAACCACACAGGTACCAAACACCCTGGTGGACCAAACATAATTCACCCAAAACCTTCAATATTTTATTTGTTTCCTTAGCCAAATATAATACTTAGTAAGTGAGTGAATACATCTCATAATTTATTAGAAGATATAATTATGATCTTAAAATAAACAAACATGATGGTCTATTTGATAGTCTGCTAAAATATAAGCAAGGAAAAGAAAACGCCCAAACGTTTTAAAAACGGGGATTCGTATGTGATATGAACAGAGAAGCCACGACAAACAAAGGAAGCTATTTTTGGCAACGTTACTTCGATTTAATTAAATGCTTGTAAAACACTAACGTTGATTTTTATCCCTAGTTCATTCTACAAACCATAAGCTTTCATTCGATATGTGATTCACTGTTATAACCCTTTTTGTTACAAAGCTATTGTAAATCAAACGTAGCCTTTGCTACACTTTTCTCTACCCTAATCCCCAGTTTTGGACGTAAATGTATTTTTCTAATTGCTTGTGCGTTGTTGTCTTGTTAGTCATCTATTTATTCATGTGTCTTGACATAAATCTGAATCGGGAACAAGTAGAGCAATGTTTCAGTTGACTAGATTTCTCTCTCTCGCGCGCTTGTCAACCAATCAGGTGATAGAATGGTTTACGTCCTTTTACCCAAGCCAGTTAGTCTCACTTCGAACTCACGCGATTATAGCTTCAAGGTTAAGTCAGTTAGCCTATTGTGCCAAGGCCTTAATCTAGATGGGGACAATTTATTTGTATATTAATGGGTAGACAAATCAACAACGTAATAGTATGATGACATTAGTTGTTAATGCTGAGTGTCAATAATCTCCAATGGTAGCTTCCAATTAATAAATCGCGGATTCGAACCCCACTCCATACTTACTCATATAAAACGTATAACTCAAAGAGGAGTACATAAACCTGTAACTTGGTTACTGAGTTTGATTACAGTGGTTTATTCCAACTCATTAGTAAAATTATCCACTTGATTCATGTAAAAAAGGTCTTTTTTAAATAACCTACCATCAGAGTTGATACAATTTCCCCTAATTCACAATCTATTTTAGCAGTTACGACAGATTAAAGCTGAAATCTTTGTTATATTCAACAGAATCAAATCAAAAGTTACCGAAAAAAAGTAAGATAGGTATAGGAAATTTGACTGTGTATGAGGGTATGAATGATACCTATTGTTGTGTAAGACAGCTTGATAATCAATTCCTGAACGAATAATTGTTAGCTGAGTACCTCGTCTAAATCACTGTACCATAAAGTATTCACTGTTAAACGAAAGTATAATCTGCTCACTGAAATGATCAATAACTAAAATCTATATGTAAATGGATATGAACTTGACCGTCAACTTTTAACACAGTAAAAATCTCTTAGCTAATTTATATAACTTAACAACTAAACATATCATATCGTTTATTTTTATGTAAAAAAAACAAACAAACTGTTATGTAGTAGCGAAGACATAAGTACGGGTAACTTGCGGGATCTACTATTGGACTATCATTCTTATTGTATAACTATTCGGTAACCAGATTATCTATATCTATATTCACCTTATTGTAAGCTTCATTTTGACCTATTGATTATTACTATATGATTTACTGTCCCTATGTTATGCTCAGTTTCATTGATTATTATCTCCCACGCTTACAGCCTCATTTGGCCTGGTTTTGTACAAATATTAATTTCTATTTTATGGTGTGGTGTGGTCTGCCTGTCGGGTATATAGATAAAGTATGTTTGAAATAAACGATTCGCATTACAGCAGCTGCTATTGGTGTTCTGGACTCAAGTGGACGGGTTAGGCGGATAAGGACGCTAGATTACTCATACTAATCGAATGTCATTGTCACAGTGTGAGGGTCGTAGAAGTCGTATTCTATTGGTGGATAATTTACGCGACTTACGTCCTTGTTAAATTCGTAAGGTCATAAAGAATCATCGACGACCTTGATCAAGTCATAACAATTGGCTACAGTCTAGGTCAAATACATAACACAAACAACAGACTAACTTTAGATGATGATTTTATTAGAAGTTCAGTCAGCCTAATTCTCATCCAAGATTCAAAACAAACAAATACCATGTTGATAAATGTGTACACAGACTTTTAGCATTTATTTGTAAACAAAAAATTAAAATCTATCTGATAAGAAGTAATATAGAAACAGTTATTCAATATTTTCATAGTTGAAAGCGTGAGTCAATTGAAGCTAGACCACCATGGAAAACCTGCAAGTACTGGACAGCCGTTTTGTCCCATTCTGGGACTCCTCAGTAGTGCGCATCCACGATCCCGCACTCGCGGGATTCGAACCTAGGACCTACCACTCTCGCGACAGAGCACTTGACCGTTGGATGCCGGCTCAGTGGTCTATCGCTTCAAATTACTCACACTTCTAACTTATTCAATAGTTACATACTACAATTGGTGATTTGTACTACATTCAATTTCTTTTCTTTAAATATACTATGCAACAATTATAACACTGGTTAGTGTATTATTAATCGAGATTTAATAAATGAAATGAATTAATTTACGAATGAAAAAAAGGTTACATTTGATCAACGGCAGTTTTATTGTCAATTTTTTTATGATCACATAAAATAGTAAGTAGTAAGAAAAATTAGACTAAACAAACTTTATCAAAATATTCAAACTTACTTCCATAATATCTAAAATATACGGTGTCCATCGTGATAATGCATATGAACTAGCATTAACACGATCTCTACGTTTCTTTTTTATTGGAAGGTATGTTTGTATTAATTGGCTAACTCTTGGAACTGGTGGTAAACGCAGAAGAGATACACATCTACCCAACTGATATTGTGGAACATTTGTTTGATTAGGTAACAATATAGTGACGGGCTATTTAGGAAAAATAAGGTAGAAACACATTGTATCTATAAAAGTGTATGAACACAGTCATCTATTTAAGGAATAAACACGTAATTTATGAACATTTATTGTGCGCTCGATCGATTCTCTTGAACATATACACGCTTCTTACATGCGGTACCAATGAACTACTCGAATGAAAAAACAACAGACGAATAGGAAGCTTAGATTGAAAACCTAAATCGAAACATTTACACAAACTTATTTACAAATACAGATGTGCCCCTTGGATAATCGAGTCATGTTTCCACCAACAGTGATCTGTCTGTGTCCGTCGCGTCAATAAGTCAAACTTTGACCAATAGCGTACATTATTCATTATATTTCTCTTATCATTTGGTCTTCAGCTGAGATATTTGATCGACTCAGTAGTTGTTTTTTAATGATTTCCTTAATGTCTGATTTTTGATTCTGATGCCTTAGATTGGTTACTTCAGAAGAGGTGATAAGCGGAGTCAATTAAAGATACCAGCTGAAGACCAAATAATAAGAAAAGGATATTGAAGAATGCATGCTACTGGTTAACCGTTTTATCAACTTAGTATCTATTTCATATCAAGTCCCCAAAGCGCTTCTTTTTCAATAAGACAAAAATAATAATTAATTAGATAGCCAGATACTTTCAGTTGTTAGACAGGTCATTGTATGAAATTAAGAGTGAAATTAAGAGAAAAAGTGGGTCACGTTATGATATCAATTAGCAGTCTTTAAGAATTGTTATAAACTCTGTTTTCTTTTTTAATATTTAATCACTATCACTGAAAACAATTATTCTGAATCTACAGGTAGAAAACGCTCTAATGACTGATATTCATATTCATAAACAGTAATGAGGGAAAATCATCAACAGGCTTGATATTAGTGATGATTACTGAAAACAGTTAGTCGTAAATAATACTAGGTCCCAAAAGAAGGGATGAATATAGATAACATTTTTTACTCTTGATAGCTAGAAGACAGATATCAAGCTCTCAGTTAAAGAAAACATAGAGCATTGTACAACTATGTACTGCCACAACTAGAAGTATTGCATGGGCTTCAACCCACGAAGTTTATATACCACATAAGGCTTATATCAGTAGTCAGTAACTTCATGAACGGATGCCATATTTGAGCTTTGTCTTCTTTAAATTCCAACCTAATATTATGCCAGTCATAACTGCATGTATGTGTTGTGAAGGGCGGTGTCCGAAAACTAATACTGATACACGGTGTACTACGCGCTGACCCCCCCCCCAATTGACTACTTGAGCGAAGATACGGGAATAAGCAAGGAAGTATATTGAACTACCGAATAAAATGCACAAATACGCATTTATATTTATAACACTAACCCTTAGGAAGTTGATCCATTTCTTAGCCAATGAAATGAACGTATACTTCAGGTCAATTCTGATTGGCTTACCATATCAGTATAAGCAGGCTGAGGCTGTGAATTGTATTATGCTTGCCCGAATGCATCAAACAATAGTTGACAGCCTGATCAACCAGCTTGTCATTTCTGTTTAGTATTCCTCATCCAAATCTTATTATTACTCAGTTTGTCCATTTACCATACTCGAGTAATCATTCAAAGATATCTACAGTAATCCCCTACAGTTCCTAAACAATATACAGATTGCCATTGAGCACCACACTCGTTATTTTAGTTGTATGGGCTATTAGATTTTCTGGCTACCTAAAACTTTGAAAAGTACTTTTTCTTAGCCAACCTGTAAAGAAATAAGCATATAGTAACATTTCACTGACTGAAGAACCTAATGAACGAGTGCTTGAGATAGGTTATCCACAACTCTATTGTGTGTGCAGTTATTTTTGTATCATCAGCACTATGCAATTTAATGTTTTGGAACAAGAAATGAGAACCCATATATTACGATAAGTGTGTCACTTTAACGGTCAACCTTCTTGTTATGTCCGTGGAAATGCAGTATTTATCGGAAGTTAATCAATAGCTTACCTTGTGAACGACACATTTACCATATCATATAACTAAGCATTTATAACCATAATTATATATTTATTCATTCTTAAGATGTGATTGCATGTCATAGATGATTGTGAAAAATGAGCCCCGTATGTCATTCACACTTCAATTGTTCTAGTTATTGTTTACCGAATCTCTTTTCTAGCACCTACATACATTTGGAGGAAGGTCAAAACCCCTAAAGAGGATGATTATTCCTCGAGAAACATCTAACTGACGATACTGAGAATTCTCTCTTCAACAAGAAACCTGATGGGATTGGTTTTACTCCTTTGAATAGAGATGGTTATTATGGCAAGATTTTGAGAAACAACTACCGGTAGAGCCTGACTACACTACCATGATAACCAAGTCTAACTACTGTGTCAGGAAAATAGCTACGCTTTAGAAACAAGTTGTTTTTAAAACGAATATGTGCATGAACTATGGTCTATTGAGAGTTGATTACAATGAGAATCAACTATATATGGAATCCAGATTCTCCACACTTAGCTTTGAAGACATGAATTAAATACAACAGTATTCTTTGAAGAAAACGCATCACCTGGAAAAAAATGAACCAAACTGTCTCCTAAATCATAATCGATTTAAATTTATGGTATCCTCACTGGTGGAAAGCCTAACAATGGACAAAGCTTAACTTAATTAATAAATGATGACCTAAATTCTTTTAAATATACAGATGTAAAATTAAGTAAAATGAGGAAATCACAATTATTTTACTTGAGAAAATCCTAGTCATATGATATAGAATGAATGAACTATTGTAGGTATTGTTTATCAAAATGTGTGAAATAAGTAAATATAATTTTTTTTTTCAACAAAAGAAACAAATGTTTCTATGACACTTCACTTAAATTTCTAACTTCAGCATTTCTTAAGTAGCCAAAATAAAAGAGAACTGAGAAATTAAACAGAATTAATATTGTCGCTGTAACAAAAATGTAATTTGATGTCAATGATTAATCGATTCTTCTGTTTCTTAATAAATATTAAAGACTGTCAAATAGTATGCACTAAAAATAGCTTACGTGAAGCTTAGCATTTATTTGCTGTTCATTTCATGTGCTGATCATAGAGTTATTATGATACTATTGAATTACTTTTAAGGGAGATTTACAAATGTCTTCCGATATATGTGGTTAGATACTTTATAAACCAACTACAATACATGTCTTTTTGCGCTAGGCTGTGAATCATATATACTTTGAGTTGATGAGAAATAGATCCCAGTTACATAAACCGAGATACAACGGTGTATATTTCAAAACCACGGCCTAATTGTTTGTGAATTAAAAACTTGTTGATTTCGTCGTAAAGCGATTAGCGTGAACTGTTCTGACTACTTAATTACCGTATTTTATTAGACTGGTATAGGTGCGTACTTGTAGTTTATCCAAGTACTGTACATCTTTATCAACTGTTGTGTTAATATTAGTTATTTCTGCGTAGAACAGTGCCAACATTTGTGTTTAGATTTAATACAAATCAGGAACAGTCGGTTGGAACAACCGATTCACCATTGTCGTCGCATCAAAAGGTAGTTCCTAGGATTTTATATAGACATTTTTAGAAAATTTGGTTTAGCTTCTATAAATGTTCATTCAAGACATTAGCTACCAATTGTTGACTTCTTAGTTTAGATATAAAACAACTTTCAATAGAATTCGATCTCTACATATTTGGAACAATCTTCACTTGATAGAGGATGTGATAAAAAATGAGACGTGTGATGAGTCGACGTCATCATCTGTTAATGTACTTAAACTTATAATTAGATATTGCATAGATGACTAACTACCAAATTTATTCGTATAGTTATTACCCAACTTAGATTTCATATATGCTTACATTTACGAATATTACTAAAGTCTAGATTACAGATGTATAAGATTAAATAACCCCAACATAATTTGTATTCATCCTTTTTGTGTTCCTTTAGTTTAATTTAATATTAGACCTTTTTATAAAAAAAATAAATTGCATTATTTTAATTGAATCACGGAATAATGTAAAAGATCAACTCACATCAGATTGAATTAATTGAGCATTCATAATAAATGAAAGACTTGCAAATAGTGGTTTGAACGAACGAGCAACTTGAGCACAATCCAACAATTTATCTAAATGTGTTTCTGCGAATCCTTCTGAATTTGTTTATAAACATAAAAATAGTAAAACAAAAATAATATTGTTATGACTTGACCTAGCCGTCGCCAATTTGTTATGTTTTTGACCTAGACTGTAGCCAATTGTTATGACTTGATCAAGGTCATCGATGATTCTTTATGACCTTACGAATTTAACAAGGACGTAAGTCGCGTAAATTATCCACCAATAGAATACGCCTTCTACGACCCTCACACTGTGACAATGACATTCGATTAGTATGAGTAATCTAGCGTCCTTATCCGCCTAACCCGTCCACTTGAGTCCAGAACACCAATAGCAGCTGCTGTAATGCGAGTCGTTTATTTCAAACATACTTTGTCTATATACCAGACAGGCAGACCACACCATAAAATAGAAATTATTACTTGTACAAAACCAGGCCAAATGAGGCTGTAAGCGTGGGAGACAATAATCAATGAAACTGAGCATAACATAGGGACAGTAAATCATATAGTAATAATCAATAGGTCAAAATGAAGCTTACAATAAGATGAATATAGATATAGATAATCTGGTTACCGAATAGTTATACAATAAGAATGATAGTCCAATAGTAGGTCCTGGAAGTTACCCGTACTTATGTCTTCGCTACTACATAACAAATATAGTGTAAAGCCGTGGTGAAAAACTAATGAAAAGAAAATTTCCTTTCTCTATTCGTTCTTCATTTTACTAAATGTCAAAACGGGGATTTCAACCATGCTGAAATACATATACATCAATAAATTTAATTATAACGTATTATATAAAAAGTTAACTGACTAACTAATTAATTGACGATAGGAAATTTGTTTATACATGTAACGTATAATCATTAAAAGTTAAGAAAGAGTCATGCTCATATACTAGGTACATATTCATGTAGATTTAAAAGAAACTTCAAATATGGGAGCAATTGATATTACTCGGATGCCCAAACGGAAGTAGGTAGGACAGTATTTGAGCCTGTGAAGTAGTAGCTGAACATCTTAACCACTGACCCGCTGCTACGCCAAACAACAAGAAATATAAACTCTTTATTGTTTATCACTGAATACGAGTAACTAGTGTTATAGATAGAACAGATTGATAACCATCTTTTTTAAGAGAAATAAAAGTGCCGAAACAGAATCCATACACCACTAATCAATTAATTGATTTCATTTTGAGTAGAATATATATATATATGTGTGTGTTTGTATGTGTGTGTGTTAACCCATCAACACACACAAAGATTGAAGGGAAATTCAAACCAGACTTATTTATTTATTTATTTAAACACATAAATATCGGTACAAAGGGGCACCAGATACATATGCGCCACACAAATCTCATTTGATTTGTGTGGGGGATGTGATACTGCTCAGGTGCCCAAACTGAACAGGTGGTTTACTTGGGGGGCCACACCCGGAGCCTTTGACCTAAAGGTCTGATCCACGAGGCAGTGGAGCATCGTGAAGAGATGTAGTTCCATGGTGGCCGGTGATCAACGATTGATTCATATGTCATTTGTTCCCTCAGGATACTGGAGCCCATGTGCATCATTGGTTTGGAATCAGGGTTTTCCAACTCCCCTAGGTGGACCCACCGTGTCCACCAACCCGGTTAAAGAGCCGGACATTCGCTTTTCATTCTCTCAATTTCGTAAACAACAACACCCCGGCCACGAGAAGGCAGTGAGTAGGACTTCCCTGACAGAGGCTATATACGCGTGGCCATGTGGAGCATTTCGAGAGGAAGGGCGGACCCTCCCCACTCTCGACCATACCAGGGCATTTGGGAGCTCAAACCTGACTAATCGACAGACTTCACACTGTAAATCATACCGGATCAAGTTAACTTATTTGAAGGTTGAATGAAGCGAAAATTTTGTGTGTTCCTTAAAACAATTATTATCCGTAATGACAATAAGTAGAAAAAGGCTAATTCATTGATACTTAAATTGTAATAACAAATATTAGTGAGATTATATAAATTCGTTTTGAAGAAGATAAAGAATGAATATATGTTACCTTTTATAAGAGTAAAGATAAGTAAAAGACGTAAACGTTCTTCCACTGATGTAAAATCGTATTTGAAAATATCAACCAATACACGCATAGGATCCGTTATAGGTTCTCCTTTTGCATTCTCACCCATCACAAGATCCTTTTAAAAGAGAATGTTCATAAAATTACCATAAGTATACTAGAATATGGTGACTACACTACTTTCTTTTTTTCACTCAGTAGTATATATGTAATAAGAATTTTATGTTTCCTATGTTAAAACGGGAATAAAAAGACTTCGGAATCGATTGGTATGGCCGGTGTAGACATTTGGTAAATTAAGAAAAGTGGATTTCTGGAAACTAGTAGAAAACAACCGCTGTAAATTGTCACAGTTCCCTCTATTGGTAAATAACCGTTTGTTGATCTTTATAAATCTAGGACTCGATTGTGTATTGATAGTTCTTCGTGTTTCTTACGAACGCTTAATGTAACTTAGTATTCTTATTACCAGTTGATTGAGAACTATAATGTGATTTATATGTTGTTATCATTCATCAGATAGTTGGGTATGAGTCACACTGTAAATGTGAGAGCTTATGATGATACTTGGTCGCTCAAACCGAGGTCGGTAGAGTGAAGTGGAGCTCAAACCTGGGGCTGAGTGCCTGAAAGCTAAATGCTTTAACCATTAAGTCATCACTCTACGCATTATATAAGTAGGTGATTATGATTTCATATTTCGTAACATACTGAGACCGTACTGAAAACTCCGAAACACTCCCTAAGAGTATTGATACACTGCTTTCACTTGACAAAACTGTCGTTTCCAGAAGTTTAACATTAGCCAAAAAGATGTTACTTCTTTAATCACTTTTTTCAAATATGTTCTAAAACTGCTATCACTGAAATAATGTCCAGTTTCTCATGTGACAACAATACTAGAGGCCTTTAACTTAGATTTTCTTCATTTTATTTATTCGTTGGTGAAACTTACTAGTAACTTTACCACTAGCAAAATCCGAACTTGTTATCCAACATTATCACATTTACAAGTGAGTGAGAAGTAAAGGGACGCTCCAGTCTTGTGACAGTAATTCACAGTAATTTATGTAACATGATTGCACTCTAACAGACAAACAGGATAAAGTGGACTCTCATGAAAAGAAATTAGAGTTAACAACAAGAATCGATGAATGGAGCAAGACGAAAAAAGGAAATTTTAAGATATACAACTAGGAAGATCATACCAACTTAAGTACATTAGACTAACAGACAATCACCCTGGACTAGTATAATATTTCGGTTTGGATACCCGTTACATATGCTGTTCAAATAGTCCAGATATTGCAATACACACCAGCAATATTAACCGTTAGTATGTGGTTTTATTAAATTCATTGGGAAAAATACATTATATTTGTAAAGTTGAGACAAAAATATGGCGAACTAAAGAAGAACTGGATACTACAATTGTTCTTGATACTTACATTTTCTATATGAGTTATCGAGAAAGGAAATAATGTACACGCAATTGCGTTTGAAGCGAACAGTACTAAGTTAGAGTCACGGAGTGAAATCAACTCTGGGACGCAGGTACATCCAGTCGACGAGTCCCAAGTAAGACGAAACACGCGTCCTAAATTCCACTGCTAGCCACCAATCATCCTTGCTTGTAATGCTTGTGACTTAATGTAATATCGAGGCAAACCACATAGGATGCACATATGACAATAAGAGACTGATCAATTGTAGTCGTAAACATCAATGAGAAGATCCAAATAACCAATACACAAATGGAATAATGTGCACGGTTTATTTTTGAAGTAATATCCTTTATTAAACAACCTTAATATCTTCCCATGTGTATAATGTGAGTTACGCCCAAAATTAAATAAATTACAAATCACAATAAAATTTAAACACGCACCAGTTTGGTATCACTTTGCATGAGTACCAATCGATAAGCATTGTAATCTCTTTCAAAAAATAACATATACATTGTTCATTTGTCTTATTTTCTATCAGTATTCAGTATGTGTGTTTTATATTCTTTCCTCTAATAATTAAACTTCATATTTCCCTACTAGTTAAAATAACACTAAGATTTAGGAACAAATTAAGGTTTTGAAAACGAGGTTGTACTTGTATACAGAGACTTGACAGAGCTACAGGAGTTAAAACAAGATATCTGTGGGAAAAACTAAACCCTAAACGAAATATTTTATATATTTTAGGTGTCACTGATTAACAACAATACTTTAATTACATAATTTTAGTGAACCAACGTATATCTAGGTAAAATCTATAAAACGCCACAGCAAGTAAGACTCACTTCTCGAAATACATCTATAAAAAGTTATGCGATAAGTGTAGAGCCGTCATCGCTGGCTAACACAATTTACTGTAATATCTTCCCAATATAGTTTTTTACAGAATGTTACTAAGACAGATGTTGAGTAAACAATATGCAGCAGAATAGTTTCGAGCTCAGTAATTTTGTTTATTGTTATGCACTTCCATTACGTATTTGGATAAACGAAATTAAGTTCTGATAATGGAATCAAATACCCAGATTATATTGTCCAGCAAATCTCTCAAAGAAAATGAAAATAATCATAACACTCCATGACTTTTTTTATTGTATTTTCATTCAACCACGGTCAAATAATCATTGAGTTAAGGATTTTTTAATTTATCAAATTACGTAACATACCTATGATAATGATAAATAGAATCCTTTCTTTCCCCATAAACTATAGAAAGCAACCAGTTAAAATTAATTTAGTGCTCTCAAATGCCACCCTACCCCCTCTTTTCAACTAATCTAAATACTGATATTTCCAGAAATCAAATGAGAGTCCTGTGGTTATTTTTAATGATACCATCATGATAAATGTACTTGATTTTAGCTGTATCTAACCAGCGAGAAGAAAAAATCACAATGTTTACAATACTGAAAGTAATCTCTTTTAAGTGAAATTACTTGTTCAATTTCACATAGTTTATCAACACCTTTTTTGAATGTAGCCATACAAGTTTCAACGATATGATAAGCAGCTGCATAACTAGCCGATTCTGTTTGATATTGTGGCATACGTTTGATAAGATCAGATAAATCTCTTATATCAACATTTTTATTTGTATCCTCTTTTGATGGAACATTATCAATATTAGCTTCTTCAAATTCAACAAATTGTTTTTTACTTTCAGCAAATTCACGAACACGTTGGGGGAGTGCTCTATAAGTTGAATAAAATAATATAATGAATCAGTAGGAAGAAAAGATGTATTTCACAACTGAAAAGTATTAAGGATAGTAACAATTAAAAGTTACAAATGATACATCATGATTGATTAGAAGAACAGTGACATTTATTTATTGTTCGTAGTAAAAAAACCCTATTCATTACTGATTGCTTTATCAGTTACTACTAAATAGTGTAAGAATGCAATTAATGACAAAATTTAGATAACTAGACGGAAGTTCACATATTGACAGAGACTGATCATATCGATTTGAGTGGATCAGTAATGGGAAACAACTAGTGTTTACTTCATGACGGATATGCCAAATGAACCAGACAAGATTGTGTAATAATTTTAATGGTAGTGTGCACACACTTTTATAAGTAATTAGGTCTCCTTTCTATATATCTACTGTTTAGGATATTCTAACTATAAAAATAAATGAGCTAAGAGTATTCCTTTGATAAATACAAATTCTTAGACGGTATTTAATTGGATAGATTGTGTAGGAACTGTTCAATAGTAGCTGATTCATAATACAGATCATATCAATAATCTGAATTTCAAATCAATCCAACTAATAAAATCACATACCTCGTGACATCTGCAACATGCTGATGTCGAAATTCTTTCCACAGTGCATCTCCGTCAGCAACATTTGCCTTGCGATTTCCACTATACCTTTAAATTCAAAAGATAAATACAATTTGAACAATAAAATAGCATAACAAATACAGTAAAAACAAAAATAGTATATAGTGAACTCTGTGGTTGAAACACGCCCTTTCACAGCTTCATTAGCTGTAGAGTAGAGTTCATCTAAAATGTTTCACCTCAATAGAATAGATGCTTCATGACTAAAATCCCCATAAATCAATGAAGGATATTTTTTTAGGCGAAGGTATATTAGAAAACCTGAGTATCGAAAGTTCAATCAATTTTGTATTTAGTTATGCACTAAATGTCAATATTTAGTTGTAAACCCAGTAGTTAGTGACTTCAATCAAAATGTATGGAGGTGGAGTCAAATAGGAAGAAATTTATGTTCGGAGAAAAAGGTGGTGATTGTGATTTGCTACTCGACTGCAGCTGCTTTAGATTGGCATGTCATCTAGGATTGCAGGTTTTTTTAATTTGGCGCGTAAAACAATAGAAATCTGTGAATAAGATATTATGTGATGCACTGTAAGTTAGAAGTTTCCATAGAATTCGAACAGTATAATCAACTTTGAGCAAGGTTTTGTTATGAGAGCTGGGGATAAGATCTGGCTACACAAACTGAGGTAGGTGAAACGGGGTTTTAAAATGTTACCTGAAGGTTGAAAACTGAGTGCTCAAACGACTCAGTCATAGCTTTGATACAATCTTGTACAAAGTTTTATAAACACGATACAATGTAGTCTTTTTACCATCAATGATACTACAATTATTCCTACTACTTTACAATACATCCTGTTAATTTCACCTCAGCATTCTGTGATGATGGTAAATCTGGCAGACTCACATTTATGTTAGGCTCCATGTTCATTATGATTGTTCCCTTCTAATTTATGACAATTTCAGAAAGTCGAAAGTATACACTACTTGACGAAAGTTTTATCAACTGAATATACGAAAATCATGGACAAATAAGGAATAAATTAATCTTAAAAACTTACTCAATTGTGTTTTCCTCCACAGTGAGCAAATCATAGCACATAGCCTGTAATGTCAATTCATGCAAAAGAGGAGTAATGGGATCCAAACTTCGATCAACAATTAACAAAAGACTCTGATCTTTGTGTGAGCCCTGAAGAGAGAAAGGGAGAGAGAAGAAGAGCTTTATTACCGAAAATTCAAGCAAACAAAAAAGATAGTTTAATCTAGTGTATGTATACTTTTCAGTGCGAAATAAACTAAGCTAAGAAACGAACTAAAATTCATAAGACGTTTGGTGGAAAAGGAAAAAACGCAGTTTTTGTTATTTTCAAAAAAAACATTTTCATGAATAGCAACTGCATGTATAATGTTTTCATGTAGCTACGATACCAAATAAAACCTCGATTTATAAAACATTCAAGTTATAAATTGCAGGAATGACAAATTTTAGTAAGAAGAATGCTACCAAAACAATCTAAACTACCATAAAATCACAATTAAACATCTTAGATTATTAAACACTTGTCATTTATGATGAAGCTAGAATATAATTTCAATGAATTATTCATATTGTTAGTCATCAGACCAGTAAAGAGCTTTTTGTTATTGATGAAGGTCAGTCAGTCACAACGTAGAACTTCGTACGTACGTACATCAGTTCGAGTTGCCACAACACATTTGCACAGAGATGAAGTTGTCGATTCAAATCCCATTGTGGTAGAAGTAGTAAGAGTATAAGTATTATGTGAAAGATAAGGGCTTAAAGATGATATTGAAGGAGCATAATATAGTGAAATAAATTTGAAAAGAAAAAAAGACAGAGACATGAAGAATTCGGAAGATTAGAATTTGGTAGAACACAAACAGTGGATGCATCTTCGCCATTGCAAACGATTTTGAGCCATGTCATTCAAGGTCTCTAACCATCGGTTGCTATCATCTCGCGCATACCAACCAGGTAGTCTACACCTACCAACATGTCTCAGTCCAATTGTCAGTGACTTCATGGATTTGTGACAGGTTTTGGTCTGGCCGCCCCTAGCTTTCTTCCAACCTACTCCTACACCATGAAACATTGCACGTCGGGGCAGTCGGTGGTCGGGCATACGTAACACATGTCCCAGCCATCTCAACTGATGAAGTTTCACTACTTCATCAATCGATTTGCCATCCCTACCTAGTACCCGTTTCCTAACAACTGCATTACTTACCCGGTGGTCCCAGGATATACGAGCAATGCTTCGAAGACACCTATGATCGAATACTAGTAGTCTACGAATATCCTCTACTCTTATTGGCCATGTTTCACTGCCATAAAGTAGGACGGAACGAACTGCTGCACAGTAAACCCGTCTTTTGGTTGCTAGACGGATATCTCGCCTACTCCATAAATGACGCAAGTTGGCGAAAGCTAGACGAGCCTTCTGTATCCGTGCTGAGATTTCGTCACATACCAGACCATAAGGGCTGATAAGACTCCCAAGATAAGTGAAGTGGTCTACACGCTCAACTACACTCCCTATCATTAGTTCAGGTGTCGATGCAACTCAATCCTGAAGTAACATTTTGCACTTCGAGGGAGAGAATCGCATCCCGAACATGCCTGTATAGTTGCTTATAGTGGTCAGAAGACTCTGCTTTTTGTCAGCGCCTTCACCAAATAGAACTATGTCGTTGGCGTATTCCAAGTCAACGAGTGATCCTCCCGGTAAAAGTTCAACTCCTGGAGGTTTAGCTGATGAAAGTGCTATCTCTAAAAGTATGTCAATGACAAAGTTAAACAAGAATGGCGAGAGTGGACAGCCCTGACGAACACAACTTGAGGTAATCAGTTCTGATGACAGTTCGCCATAGGCTCTAACTCGACCAGTTGTGTTCGAGTAGAGAGCCTTCATGAGGTTAATGTACTTCTTTGGTACTCCTTTCAGTGACAGACGCTGTCATAGAACCTCACAATCAACGGAGTCAAATGCCGCCTTAAGGTCAAGAAATACTACTATTGTGGGACGTCTGAATGTATGTCTATATTCTAGGACCTGACGTAGAGTGAATATCTGGTCTATGCAACCACATCTAGGTCGGAAACCAGTCTGGTTTTCTCTAGTCTGCTCTTCACGAGCTTTGGTTAGGCATCCAAGTATTATTGAAGCTAATATTTTAGACACTATTAGTCAAACTGATCCCTCTGTGATTGTCACAGGAGGACTTTTGTCCTTTCTTATAGACTGGCACAATCAGTGATTGGGACCAGTCAGATGGAATTACGTCCAGTTCCCAGATTCTACCTAAGAACTCATTCAATCTCGCTGCTAGCGCTGGACCACCATCCTTAAAAATCTCAGGAGTAAACCTGTCAGGGCCTGCTGCTCTCCCTCGCTTCAGATTTCCTATAGCTTTTTCAACCTCGTAGAGTTGGAGGACTTACATCAATTTGCCATTCAGGACGACTGGGGATCGTGGGTAACTGAAGTGTGGCTGAAGGCCAGTTGAACTGATCCCTGAAGTGTTCTGCCCATCGATCCAATCTCCTGGATTGAGAATGAATGATATGCCCATCTTTGTCTGAGATAGTTTCGCTAATAGTTGGGTTCCTAATGCCGGTTTCTTTAATAAGTCTGAATGGCTGTCTGCTGTTACCTATTGCCACTGCCTTTTCCATCTCTCTTGCTTTCGCTACCCACCACTGTTCACGATCATTGCGTAGGCTTCTTATTAGCCTGCGCTTAAGCTGACTCCGCTCTTCGTTATGCTCAGAGCCAGGTGGGATGAGTTTTCGAGCATCTATCAGTGCGGTAGATGCTGCCGAGATCCAGTGTTTCTCCCTAACATTATGGCTTACCTTACTAGCGGATATTACTGCTGTTTCCACAGCTTTTCGGATGTCATTCCACGCTGCTTCGGGATGGGCACAACTTGCATTGCTGCCTAACTGTTTTTCTAGTTGTTCCTGAAATATATTCTTAGCTTGCTTATCGTTAAGTAAAACCCTAAAAGGTTTCCTTGCAGTGTCTTTCCTACGTCCAATAAGACGCAGACAGATACGTGCTCGCACTAGAGCATGACCTGAATCTAAACATGTGCTCCAGAATGAGCGACAGTCTTCTATCGAGCCCCTCCATCGGTGGCTGATAGCGATGTGATCTAATTGGGTCCAACGTTGGGACGAATTCGGGGATCGCCATGTCAAAAGATGTTTTTCCTTATGCTTAAAGTTAGTATTTGCAAGAAATAGGCGGTTATCTGAGCATGGCTGCAACAGACGATCGCCACGACAACATAAGATCCTCCCAGGTGTCTTTCCCTTTCACTTGATTTACCTACTTGAGCATTAAAGTCACCAGCCACTATTACTACATCAGAACGCCTAGCTTTTCGGAGAAGGTCAGAAAGTTTCCTGTAAAACTCATCTTTTATATCGTCTGAGCTGCAGTCAGTGGGAGAGTAGGCAGAGACGATGAAGAGGCAACGACGAGTTTCCCTATCTTTCCGAGTCCTTACTGATCTGTTTAATCGGACAGCGCATAGACGACTGTCTACTGGGATCTAGTCTAAAAGAGCTAGTTCTGCCCTAGTACTCAATGCTATACCTACTCCAGCGAGGCTACGGGAAGCAGCATTAGGACTTCCAGATACACGAAGTGTGTATCGAGATGGTTCTTTATTTTGATATGGTGAGGTCAAATGAATGACGCTACTCGGATCTTGTATGCGCGTTTCGAAAACGCAGCACACATCGATAGTGTAAGATTCTAGAGTCCTAGCTAAGTAAGCCTGTTGTCCTATTTGGCACAATGTTCGGACATTAAAAGTTCCTATATGTAGTTTACAGCGTGGTTTCAGGAGACCGGGAATAACGTTCCGTGTACTTGAATCGTTTGCCCTAGCGGTGCGAGGTGATAAAAGGACGTGGGAAGGGTTAGTCGTGGAGATAAGAAAGTTATTAGGAGTAGGAAGGATTTGAAAGTGACCAACTTGGTCTCGTGTGCTGTTACGGGTATGAGGGCTAATATCACTTCCCGGCTGCCCACACCATGGAAGGGTATTTCTTGAGGGACCTGAAAAAGAAGTTGGATTAATGTCGGTCTTAACGACCTGGGAGCGTTACCGCAGTGCCCAAGGGACAACTGCTTGAGGCCGGTCACGCACGGCCTTTTTGTGGTGGATTTTTGACGTGTTAGCTCCGTTCTTCAAAGGACCTTACCGCCGGAGACGGAAATCCGTGGGATAAGGCGAGGTGTGCATTTTTAGGGTCGACCTTTCCTAACCCCACCCCTCCTTGTAGGAAGGCAGCATCGCTGTCATGCTGGTTGTCTGAAGGAAACACCTTACTGCCATCACACCTCTGTACAGTCGGCAGTACGACTTCGCCTTCGAGCCTTGGGAGTGCTGCTTTTAGTCTTACCGCAAACTGAATGTTTATAATATCACCCAAAAATCTGTTATAGTTGTTTAAAAACCAATTTCTCAAGTGGAAATAAATATTTTATGAACCCAAAAAATACAAACGGTTTTTTAAAACAAGCATTTGAGAGATTCGCAACCTAATGAGAATGATCGAATGAAGGGGAACCTGATAAGTAACCAATTCTACCAGAATTGAAATCAGTAGCATTTCTGAAACCCCTGTAGTTCTAATAAATCAGTTGTCTGGAATCGTGGCTCTTCGACTCCCCTAGGTAAACCTTCGTTATCAGCCGAAGAGGTTCTGTTACGTCCGTGATCTGTCTAGAAAACAACATACAGGAGAGGACTTGTCTCTATCTAGGTTAAGGCCTTGTCACGATAGGCTAACTGGTCCAATCTTGAGACTGGAAATGCGTGAGTCTGAACTGAGGCTAACGGCCTTTGGCAGAGGGGCGAAAACTATTATATCGCTTGACTGGTCGACAAGCGAGAGAGAATAGTCAAACGGAACACTACTCGATAAATTCCCGATTCAGATTAGTGTAAAAATATACATTAATAAACATATGACTAACAAGACCACAACATACAAACAACTATAAAAATACAATTATGTCCAAACTAGGGATTAGGGATAGGAAAAGTAAACTACAAAAAGTTACGTTTAAATTACAATACCTTTGGAACAAAAAGGGGTATGACAGTGATTCATATATCAAACGAAAGCTTATAGTTTAAAGAACAACCTAGAGACAAAACTAAATGTTAGTATTTCATAAACTTTGAATTAATCGAAGTAACGTCCCCAAAAATAGCTTCCGTTGTTTGTCATGGCTTTTTTTATTTTAATGTTCACATCAGGTCTATTTCCACTTTTATGGAAACAACAATCAGATGTAGGCAGAGTAGGACCTTCGTCGAAGGTATAAAATGACTATATATTTCCATATAAAAATGAACCTCTTATTATCCTCAGTCAGATCAACTTGTGTGCTTTGTCAATTTGTTTGTAGATGATGAGGTTGTGAATATTAATCACCTGTAGTAACACGCTAAAATTAGAAATTCGAAACTCACCTGACCCAAAATCGGGTTGTCGCTCTTATAGGTATCTAACTTCACTTGCACAAGACGGGCCAATTCGAGGTTACTCTCTGTCCTGTAAAATTTCGGGGAATAAAACAAACTGCCATTCAAAATAAAGAATAAATGACTAGATTCCGATGAATGTACTGTTTAATTATAACTACACTACCTTATCCAAAGAATCTGAGAAAACCAAGACAGTAAAACAGAACACCGATTGAAGCTTCTGTACTTCAAAATAAGAGAGCAATACCACATCAAATGTAAAAACAGGAACATACGGAAAGAAACATCTATTTATTTTATTTTAGTAACGTTGTGCTCCTCGAGATGGATGGTTTAATTTCGAAGCTCCATTTATCTTCCTAAACAACATCAAAAACACGGAATATAAACAGGAAACAACAAAAACCTTACGAGTAAACCATTCAGCTCAGAACACAACAAAAGAATACAGTGACAATGTTGTGAATAAATATAAGAGGGTGAGGATTTTTAATAAAACAATTTTAGTTGAAAATATAAACGAGATAAATTTCGTTTAATTAGGGTTTATCCCATTTTTATTAAAACTGCAATAGAAGGCAACAATAGGATTTCTATCAATCTTATGCAGCTACCTTTTTCCCCGAGGGAGTAGCTGAGTGTGTCAACTACTTTATTCGTTTTGGAAGATGTCCGTCTGTCAAATAAAAGATGAGTGTACTGTGTGGCTTTGAGGCGTTTCCTTTAAGAATACAGGATATTCGTAGGCTACTATTATTTGACCGTGCTTGCCTTCAACCCATAGCTCACGCACATTGGGACGATTGAGTGAGCGTGTTGAGGTTAAATGCAGGGTACTAGACAAAAATGGTAAAATTTTCGTAGACTGTGGTTGGGATATGTATTATATGTATCCAACTACCACCTACCAAGACAGTTGTCAGCACGTATAGAAGTAGGTCAGTAGAAAACTAGGGGCAACCAAACGCGGATGTGGTATTAGTTTATACAGTCACTGACTGTTGGTATCAACCATGTTGGCAGATCGAGACCACCTGGTTGGGGTCCACACGATTACCATCACCAATAGTTGGATCCATTGTAATAGATGGCTTCAAATAGATCACAATGGCACAAATTTATTTCCCTAGATAATGAGTTATAAGAATGCTTCTTATCTTCTATTCCCCTAGTTATCTTTTTCTTTTTGAATTATATTCTCGATCTTTACTCTTTTTTCTATCAGTGGTACTACTACTACTTTAGTATTGATCTTGACAATCCGTTCGTCTTGGAATGAAGTAATTATCGTTTTCTTCGTTAAAGTGGGCCTACACAAAACTTGCAACAATTACTAGAGTACACATTTGTTCTCAATCACTTCTAGACTGTTAGCTTACATCATATGTCCGGAAGAGATAACCAAATAAGAAACAAATAGATAGGAAATAACATCAAAGATCTCCAATAAAATTAAAGCCATCCCATGCCTGCGTATATGATGTGTTGTTTCAACCAATTAGACAGTAAAGAGCGTTTGGGAACGGATGAACTTTCAGAACTATCCTACGGGAGATTACTGTTTATACTTTTATTGTATAACAATACGTTGCTTGGATTTTTGTATCCTTATATTCTTCTATTTGTAAGCTTTCGTTTGACCAGCAAACTGTTGTTATACATCTTAATGTTCCAAACTTATCAGCGATTATTTTCCTATCCCTCTGTTTTTGTAATACTTATGGATGAACTATGAATATATAGTAGTTTCCTGTTTTTGCTGTTGTGCGATCAGGTATATCATTGTATGAGTCATGAGGAATGGAGAATTGGGATACTTTCAGTATGCGGTTACAAAGATCGTCGTACTTAAAGGGACTCATCAACAGACCAGTATTAGGCCATCACTGAAAACCCTGGAGCATTGGATGGCCGCTCCGTTCTAGCATGGGATTCTTCGGCAGTGCACATCCGACCTGGCACACAGGAATCGGAACCAGGATCTTAGATCTCGTGTGCAAACGCCTAACTGCTAAACCACTGAGCTGACATCCATTGATGTTGCTGTCTAATTTCAGACAATTCACGAAACAATGCAACCATTTTTCACTGTCTCCAGCAAATAATTGCCTGACACTCGACACGGATTAGCTCCACCGGTCATGGCTTCTCGCTAGTCACTAACACCGTTTGACACTGGTTCAGTGGTTTAGAAATTAGGCGTTCACACGCGAAACATGAGGTCCTGGGTTCGATTCCCGCGCGCGAAGTCGTGGATGTGTACTGCTGAGATGTCCCATGATAGGATGAAGTGACCATTCAATTTTTTCAGCTATTTAATGGTGTTTCAACTTAGATCGGTTCGTGATTCTAAAGAGATATTTCCTTGTTAACTTCGTCTTGTAATTAGACACTGAGTTGGAAAGAGCTCGTGCACAAATAAGTGATAAAGTCTCGACCGCCGTTCATTGACCTCCGCGTCATCAGGCCTACAGGCAATATAAGCGAGCCACGATTCCAGACAACTGATTTATTAGAACTACAGGGGTTTCAGAAATGCTACTGATTTCAATTCTGGTAGAATTGGTTACTTATCAGGTTCCCCTTCATTCGATCATTCTCATTAGGTTGCGAATCTCTCAAATGCTTGTTTTAAAAAACCGTTTGTATTTTTTGGGTTCATAAAATATTTATTTCCACTTGAGAAATTGGTTTTTAAACAACTATAACAGATTTTTGGGTGATATTATAAACATTCAGTTTGCGGTAAGACTAAAAGCAGCACTCCCAAGGCTCGAAGGCGAAGTCGTACTGCCGACTGTACAGAGGTGTGATGGCAGTAAGGTGTTTCCTTCAGACAACCAGCATGACAGCGATGCTGCCTTCCTACAAGGAGGGGTGGGGTTAGGAAAGGTCGACCCTAAAAATGCACACCTCGCCTTATCCCACGGATTTCCGTCTCCGGCGGTAAGGTCCTTTGAAGAACGGAGCTAACACGTCAAAAATCCACCACAAAAAGGCCGTGCGTGACCGGCCTCAAGCAGTTGTCCCTTGGGCACTGCGGTAACGCTCCCAGGTCGTTAAGACCGACATTAATCCAACTTCTTTTTCAGGTCCCTCAAGAAATACCCTTCCATGGTGTGGGCAGCCGGGAAGTGATATTAGCCCTCATACCCGTAACAGCACACGAGACCAAGTTGGTCACTTTCAAATCCTTCCTACTCCTAATAACTTTCTTATCTCCACGACTAACCCTTCCCACGTCCTTTTATCACCTCGCACCGCTAGGGCAAACGATTCAAGTACACGGAACGTTATTCCCGGTCTCCTGAAACCACGCTGTAAACTACATATAGGAACTTTTAATGTCCGAACATTGTGCCAAATAGGACAACAGGCTTACTTAGCTAGGACTCTAGAATCTTACACTATCGATGTGTGCTGCGTTTTCGAAACGCGCATACAAGATCCGAGTAGCGTCATTCATTTGACCTCACCATATCAAAATAAAGAACCATCTCGATACACACTTCGTGTATCTGGAAGTCCTAATGCTGCTTCCCGTAGCCTCGCTGGAGTAGGTATAGCATTGAGTACTAGGGCAGAACTAGCTCTTTTAGACTAGATCCCAGTAGACAGTCGTCTATGCGCTGTCCGATTAAACAGATCAGTAAGGACTCGGAAAGATAGGGAAACTCGTCGTTGCCTCTTCATCGTCTCTGCCTACTCTCCCACTGACTGCAGCTCAGACGATATAAAAGATGAGTTTTACAGGAAACTTTCTGACCTTCTCCGAAAAGCTAGGCGTTCTGATGTAGTAATAGTGGCTGGTGACTTTAATGCTCAAGTAGGTAAATCAAGTGAAAGGGAAAGACACCTGGGAGGATCTTATGTTGTCGTGGCGATCGTCTGTTGCAGCCATGCTCAGATAACCGCCTATTTCTTGCAAATACTAACTTTAAGCATAAGGAAAAACATCTTTTGACATGGCGATCCCCGAATTCGTCCCAACGTTGGACCCAATTAGATCACATCGCTATCAGCCACCGATGGAGGGGCTCGATAGAAGACTGTCGCTCATTCTGGAGCACATGTTTAGATTCAGGTCATGCTCTAGTGCGAGCACGTATCTGTCTGCGTCTTATTGGACGTAGGAAAGACACTGCAAGGAAACCTTTTAGGGTTTTACTTAACGATAAGCAAGCTAAGAATATATTTCAGGAACAACTAGAAAAACAGTTAGGCAGCAATGCAAGTTGTGCCCATCCCGAAGCAGCGTGGAATGACATCCGAAAAGCTGTGGAAACAGCAGTAATATCCGCTAGTAAGGTAAGCCATAATGTTAGGGAGAAACACTGGATCTCGGCAGCATCTACCGCACTGATAGATGCTCGAAAACTCATCCCACCTGGCTCTGAGCATAACGAAGAGCGGAGTCAGCTTAAGCGCAGGCTAATAAGAAGCCTACGCAATGATCGTGAACAGTGGTGGGTAGCGAAAGCAAGAGAGATGGAAAAGGCAGTGGCAATAGGTAACAGCAGACAGCCATTCAGACTTATTAAAGAAACCGGCATTAGGAACCCAACTATTAGCGAAACTATCTCAGACAAAGATGGGCATATCATTCATTCTCAATCCAGGAGATTGGATCGATGGGCAGAACACTTCAGGGATCAGTTCAACTGGCCTTCAGCCACACTTCAGTTACCCACGATCCCCAGTCGTCCTGAATGGCAAATTGATGTAAGTCCTCCAACTCTACGAGGTTGAAAAAGCTATAGGAAATCTGAAGCGAGGGAGAGCAGCAGGCCCTGACAGGTTTACTCCTGAGATTTTTAAGGATGGTGGTCCAGTACTAGCAGTGAGATTGACTGAGGTCTTAGGTAGAATCTGGGAACTGGACGTAATTCCATCTGACTGGTCCCAATCACTGATTGTGCCAGTCTATAAGAAAGGACAAAAGTCCTCCTGTGACAATCACAGAGGGATCAGTTTGACTAATAGTGTCTAAAATATTAGCTTCAATAATACTTGGATGCCTAACCAAAGCTCGTGAAGAGCAGACTAGAGAAATCCAGGCTGGTTTTCGACCTGGACGTGGTTGCATAGACCAGATATTCACTCTACGTCAGGTCCTAGAATATAGACATACATTCAGACGTCCCACAATAGTAGTATTTCTTGACCTTAAGGCGGCATTTGACTCCGTTGATTGTGAGGTTCTATGACAGCGTCTGTCACTGAAAGGAGTACCAAAGAAGTACATTAACCTCATAAAGGCTCTCTACTCGAACACAACTGGTCGAGTAAGAGCCTATGGCGAACTGTCATCAGAACTGATTACCTCAAGTTGTGTTCGTTAGGGCTGTCCACTCTCGCCATTCTTGTTTAACTTTGTCGTTGACGTGCTATTAGAAATAACACTTTCATCATCTCAATCTCCTGGAGTTGAACTTTTACCGGGAGGATCACTCGTTGACTTGGAATACGCCAACGACATAGTTCTATTTGGTGAAGGCGCTGACAAAAAGCAGAGTCTTCTGACCACTATAAGCAACTATACAGGCATGTTCGGGATGCGATTCTCTCCCTCGAAGTGCAAAATGTTACTTCAGGATTGGGTTGCATCGACACCTGAACTAATGATAGGGAGTGAAGTAGTTGAGCGTGTTGACCGCTTCACTTATCTTAGGAGTCTTACAGCCCTTGTGGTTTGATGTGAGACGAAATCTCAGTATGGATACAGAAGGCACGTCTAGCTTTCGCCAACTTGCGTCATTTATGGAGTAGGCGAGATATCCGTCTAGCAACCAAAAGACGGGTTTACTGTGCAGCAGTTCGCTCCGTCCTACTTTATGGAAGTGAAACATGGCCAATAAGAGTAGAGGATATTCGTAGACTACTAGTATTCGATCATAGGTGTCTTCGAAGCATTGCTCGTATATCCTGGGACCACCGGGTAAGTAATGCAGTTGTTAGGAAACGGGTACTAGGTAGGGATGGCAAATCGATTGATGAAGTAGTGAAACTTCATCAGTTGAGATGGCTGGGACACGTGTTACGTATGCCCGACCACCGACTGCCCCGACGTGCAATGTTTCATGGTGTAGGAGTAGGTTGGAAGAAAGCTAGGGGTGGCCAGACCAAAACCTGTCACAAATCCATGAAGTCACTGACAAGTGGACTGGGCCATGTTGGTAGGTGTAGACTACCTGGTTGGTATGCGCGAGATGCCCGACCGTTGCTGCTACCTTGACGTGGTGGTCGTGCTTGCCTATCGTGATGATCCAATCGAGCTATGCTGGCTGGAACAATCGTTCCTCAAGGTCCTACCATGCCAGACAGGTCGATTGAAGAGCGGTGAGACTAAAAGCAGCAATCCCAAGGTCCGAAGGCGAAGTCGTACTGCTGACTGTACAGAGGTGTGACGGCAGTAAGGTGTTTCCTTCAGACAACCAGCATGACAGCGATGCTGCCTTCCCACAAGGAGGGGTGGGGTTAGGAAAGGTCGACCCTAAAAATGCACACCTCGCCTTATCCCACGGATTTCCGTCTCCGGCGGTAAGGTCCTTTGAAGAACGGAGCTAACACGTCAAAAATCCCCCACAAAAAGGCCGTGCGTGACCGGCCTCAAGCAGATGTCCCTTGGGCACTGCGGTCACGCACCCAGGTCGTTAAGACCAACACTAATCCAACTTCTTTTTCAGGTCCCTCAAGAAATACCCTTCCATGGTGTGGGCAGCCGGGAAGTGATATTAGCCCTCATACCCGTAACAGCACACGAGACCAAGTTGGTCACTTTCAAATCCTTCCTACTCCTAATAACTTTCTTATCTCCACGACTAACCCTTCCCACGTCCTTTTATCACCTCGCACCGCTAGGGCAAACGATTCAAGTACACGGAACGTTATTCCCGGTCTCCTGAAACCACGCTGTAAACTACATATAGGAACTTTTAATGTCCGAACATTGTGCCAAATAGGACAACAGGCTTACTTAGCTAGGACTCTAGAATCTTACACTATCGATGTGTGCTGCGTTTTCGAAACGCGCATACAAGATCCGAGTAGCGTCATTCATTTGACCTCACCTAATCAAAATAAAGTTTCATCTCGATACACGCTTCGTGTATCTGGAAGCCCTGACGCTGCTTCCCGTAGCCTCGCTGGAGTAGGTATAGCATTGAGTACTAGGGCAGAACTAGCTCTTTTAGACTAGATCCCAGTAGACAGTCGTCTATGCGCTGTCCGACTAAACGGATCAGTAAGGACCCGGAAAGATAGGGAAACTCGTCGTTGCCTCTTCGTCGTCTCTGCCTACTCTCCCACTGACTGCAGCTCAGACGATATAAAAGATGAGTTTTACAGGAAACTTTCTGACCTTCTCCGAAAAGCTAGGCGTTCTGATGTAGTAATAGTGGCTGGTGACTTTAATGCTCAAGTAGGTAAACTAAGTGAAAGGGAAAGACACCTGGGTGGATCTTATGGTGTCATGGCGAAAAGAACAGATAATGGCGACCGTCTGTTGCAGCTTTGCTCAGATAACCGCCTATTTCTTGCAAATACTAACTTTAAGCATAAGGAAAAACATCTTTTGACATGGCGATCCCCGAATTCGTCCCAACGTTGGACCCAATTAGATCACATCGCTATCAGCCACCGATGGAGGGGCTCGATAGAAGACTGTCGCTCATTCTGGAGCACATGTTTAGATTCAGGTCATGCTCTAGTGCGAGCACGTATCTGTCTGCGTCTTATTGGACGTAGGAAAGACACTGCAAGGAAACCTTTTAGGGTTTTACTTAACGATAAGCAAGC